GAGGGCAAGGGCGGGTTACTCGCAGAGGTGGGAGGGAGAGATGCTTTGTAATTACGGTGGCTGATAAATGGAGTCGTGACTCGTTAATCCTCTCCAATTACATCTGATGGGGACCGTTCACACCAGATATATCTTGCATCGTTTTTGAAATTTTCGGACGCGAGTGATCGCACATGTAATTTTATTCAACTAAATGCTTGACTTTAATTAGTCACTAATTTTGGATCCAATTGTGGAATAATTTTTACAATTGTGCCGGAAATTTGATCAATATGTGTGAAAAATACTATGTATATTTGTTCTTGTAATGCACGGCTAGCGTTGAATACAAAGTGTGTGGTCGCGCAATGCTTAAGTCTTGACGATAATAAGAGATATGACGCAGCTCGTGTGAAATTCTCGTTGTATGTCCCCGCACTCGCTAAACGAGCAATTCAACGACCACCCACTTCACATTCAGCGCCATACAGGTTGTAGATCGGAGCGATTGTGATGCGGATATAGACGAAATGACCAGCATATATGCATCATTTGTCTTAAGAGAACGGATATGGAACGTGATGCGTAGGTGTAACAACAGTGAGAGAAAAGAAGCTCCGGAAATGCATCGGTTAAGTACCTACGTACAGAAGTGTATGTACGCGTGAAGTAAATGGCGGATATAAATAAAGGGAATGAAAAGACTCGTCCGTATAGAATCGCGATGGAAGGAGGAGGCTCAGAGAATGCAGTTGTTGATGTACAAATATTTATGTCATAATTGATTATTTTGATAACAGTTATAGAGATTGCAAAAATATTTATATACGCGGATATTATAACTGTGTCTCCATTTCTACCGACTTTTTCTTTTTTTTATTGAGTGCTTTAAATAACTAATAAGCAATATGTAATACAATATTTCTGTTTCAAAAGAATTTGACACATTAAAACAATTTTTGATTAAAGAAGAGAAAAAATTTTGGCAAGTAAGATCCTGCTTTGGCCTTCGATCCTCCTTATTCAACAACGATTAAACATTAAAACAAGTTTATTCTAAAAATATCAACATTCAATTGATTTACCAACCTTTACATCATGTTTAACAAGTATTTATAACTGTTACTTATTTTATTTAATAAATTATAAATGTATTTGTAAGCATATTTGATATTCTATCATGTAAATTATTCTCTCTACAAAAATGATAATAATGTATATCAATTTCTTACCACAATTCACTATTTATTTGCTAATAAAATAAAATTGTTGTTAATAAATATGTAAAAAGTGTTCCACTAATTTAATTATGTTGTGTGATATTCTCTTCCTCGCTGTGTAAGCTATCTTATTATTATCATTCCTTATGCGAATATAGCTGTAATCAATTTCGTATTATGTTCTCGCTCTACTTTGAAACAATAGACTGACCGGAACGTCTACAATAATTTTCAACTAATCCACATCCGAGAGAAGTTAGCGAAGGCGTTTAATGTCGAAACTTATGGTTTATCTAGCCACGGACAGCAACCCTATAACAGTACATAGATCTTGCAATTAGCGGCTCTTGTGTACTTCCTTCCTACTCGCTTGGAAGCATACTATTAATCGTATCATCTTGTGTTGGATAGAATGCACGTATATTAGGACCAAGTATATTGAATAAAGAGTTTACCGCATTATATATTACCTTTTAGATCATATTTTCCATATTGTGTAATAAAAATGTTCTTATCACATTGCAAAATGTTACTTATCACATTGCTACAAAAAATTACAGATGTAAGCAATCGGTAAAGATAATTGAACAATAGTTTTTTACGATTATATACATTCTAGATTATAACCATGAATTAATTATGATAAAATTTATCACTTTACCACGACACATTCTTAAAATAATTAGATATTCTCTTTCTAATAAAAATTTGAAAACATCCATATAATTTTCAAATCGGACTTTTATTAAATTAAGTTTTAGAGGTGAAAATAAATATTCTTTAATTTTAAATAAGATTTGTTATCAATTATCAATTGATATTGAGGAACTTTAGTATTATGTTGTAAAATAATCCTTAAGAAATATAAATAAATAAGATTTATTATTTAATTATGCAAGTTAAAAATAAAAGAGAAACATTTCTAGATTTTATATATAGAGATAAGCACAAAAATTATGTTTGTAGGATAAAAATTTATAAAATTAAAGCCAAATCTGAGAGAATTCGATATATTGGGTTGTGTGATAAGTAATTTAAAATTTTTTAAATATATCTGTCTACTTTTTTTTGTCAAGCAAAGAGTAGATTGATTAATATGTAAATTAAATATTTGTTTGTTAAAATTGTGATTATGTTTTGTATGTAGTACGATTTTTAAGTATGCTGCATAAAAAGCACCACTTATTCGAAAATTTGAAATTACTTATACAATCTAATACTTTTGCCTCATCTAGAAAAATAATAGAAATTGCTACTCAAATAAATAAAAAGTAGCAAAAAATATTCTAAATAATCAGTTAAATTATTCATCTCCTGCTATCGTTAGAATGTTGCGAGAGTCAGACTCATTATTGTTAAATAAATGAAGGTGAAATATGTAAAAAGCAATTAAATAGACATAGAAGCAGCGTATTCTTCCAAAATTCCATGACTCAGTAATGTGCACGATGAGAGTAGCGACCTTGGTCCGCGCCATACATGTCTGACTTTGGAACCCGGTTGGTAGCAGCATATCTAGGCAGTTGGCTGGGATGCTCGTGGGATGGGCGGAGGCAGGACTGCACAAGCGGCCCCCATTCGCTTTCCGGGTGCCACCCTTCTTTTCGAGCTGCTGCGAGATATCCCTTGCTCCGAGCTGCGGCGATTACGCACATGCTAGCGCATGCGTCGCTTCGGCAGCGTCGCTCGTATAAGCGCCCACACGATGATTATGGAGACAGGAGGGGATACGAGAAACAGTAAATACACCATATGATACACAGTAATGCTCTTGTGATACCTGTAAATTATGATAACGCGTGCATTCGAGACTGCTTATTTTTTTATTAAGTAGAAATGTATGTAACATATCATATATTTTTATTAATATCTCGCGAGTTTTATTGTCAATTCTTCTTACGTCATCATCGTTGTGATGTATGAGATACAACAAATTATAGTATATCATGATTATCGCAAGTCATTAATAGATATTTAAATTATTTACACGAACAACATTGTGCTATGTAACGATGGTAAAAAATTAAGTTTTATAAGAAATGAAGAATTTTTATTTTGTTCAATATTATCAGATTGAAGTAAAATATGTTTTTGTTTATTATTATAATTGAGATCACTTTAAATCAGGTGACCAGACTTTAAACAACAATCCTTAAATTATTCTGCATGATTATAATAGTTTTACACAATTAATTGTATCTATGTTAAAAATGTCGCGATAATAAAGTTATTTACGCAAATAATTTTTTTGCCGTTTGCAACCTGTTTTATGTATAATATTGGTCTTACTTTTAGTTTAGCTCTTATCAAAGTTAAAATGGAAATTGTGAACACAACGTATAACGAATACAGATACCTAATAAGAAAGAGATAATGTCAAAACTTAAGATAATGAGACGCGCCAGCCTTGACTGGTTGACGATGTTTCCTGACAGAATAATAAATAATGCAGAAAAATTATGAAAATTATTAAAACACGAAACTACCATATGCATAACATACATAAAAAAACGTGGGAGTACGATTTTGGAAACACGACGTTATTGTAAATTACGAAACATTTATTTATTTATTCATTTACTTGACGGTTGTATAGTTCATCGATCTTTATGATCAATATAAACATAAGCATTGAAGTGTGCCCAATTACGTTCTTATCATACATGCTATATACAGTTAATAATTATAGCAAAGGGTATAATGTCACACTTATAGAATGATTTCGAAACTCCTATACGCTTTCTCTTATATTCTCTCACTAATTACTCGATTATACTAACTCGGTTCTTTAGAATTAATGTATCTTAAACTTTAACTCTGTCTTATAGTTAATAATATTGTTTTGGTATATCGTCACAGCGATTCTGTGCATAAATTGTTTGATTACTACTCGCTTAACAGTACATTTTCCGATTTATCCACGGTGCAGTTTGTGTCCTAATTATTATTGGTCAATCCTCGTTTCCTTTCAGTAAAAATATATACTATCATTTTGAACTATTTACAACGTACTTTACGGAAGGATGCGTTCAAGTATAGTATTTTCGATCAACTTTTTATGTTTAAGTGTTTAAAACGATTTTGAAATATTTTTGTTTCTGATTTTGTTTTCTGATTGTAATCAAAAAATTTCAGATAAACAATAAACTTTTGAATGAGAATGATTGACGTAAAAGTTACATTATAATATATATTATATAAAACATTTGTTATATAATATATATTAAATATATATTATAATAAAAATGTTATACAATATATATATATATATTATAGACATACATAATAAAAAAATATACATATATTATAATATATATTACCATAATATATGTATTATAATATATATATTGAAATTTTATCTGTGAATTTACTTGTAAAATTGCAGAATTTAACCATTAATGATATTATTAATATACGCGTTTTGTAATACCACAATGATTAAAATTTTTACTTAAAAATCCAATTTTCGTCTATAATGTCAAACGTTAATATCAACACTTAGACAATACTATACGAAATATAAACACTATTTTAATTACATTGCAATAAAACTTTCTTTACACTATTATATACACACGTAAAATCGCGCGAGTTATATATAATATTCACATTTCATAAAATATGAGTTTCTTTTGGATATTGATATTATTAAGAATGAACAATAAAGGTGGATGACTATGGTTGCCTTGAATTATAAGTTTCGACAAGAAATATTCGGTCGCTAGGAAACATAAAAAGAAAATGCTAAGAGACGTAAAAGTTTGCGTTAATCATTATAATTTTTTAATTACTAATTTTCCGTACTTAATTGTAATGAGTTCTTAGAAGAGAAAGAGAGACTTGGCTTTATAAAATCAAAGTGCATTTTTACCAATAATAAATGTAAGAAAGGATTAAAATGTGTAAATTTGGCTAATTTGAACCTAGTATAAGTACTAAAGTCCTTCAGTATTAAATTTCAGTAAACCATTATTGGTAAATACATGCATATTTGTTGTATAAGAGAAACAGCCAGGATTACTCTCTTCGTCCGATGCTGCAATGAGAAAGAACTCAAATTATATTCTATACAACCTGCAATAAATATCCAATCAAACGAAGAAACACGGTACCAGTAAATGAATTAATTCGCGGAGAGCCACTACCACTGGTATCGAAGATCACACCTTCCGGAATGGATGTTACAGAGCTGTGAGTCCATAATCGGATTTTATCGCCGACGGCGGAACAGGAGCTGGTACTTGCGACAGTCCGGGAGGACTGGTGGCTGGAGCAAGAGGACTGATACTT